TACTGTTATTTCATTCCAACTGTTTCTAGTTTCCATGAAAACATCTGCAGAGCAAGAGAGGACATGCGCAAGAGCTCTCTTCCTTTACCTGAGGTTGCGTGAAGGTCAGCCTTTGCAAAGTTTTGGTGACATTGGAGTAAAACATCAGAAAGTGCTCATTCTTGAATTGGGTTGAAAAACAACATCAAGGGGGAAATTTGAGCAGATTACGACTCTCGTGTTCCTTTCATGGTGACACCTTGAGTGACAGCTGCTTATTTTCCTCTGTTTTGGATGAAAATCGAGTTTCCAGCGTGATGCAGAAACCTTTTCGTAACAGTGCGCCTCTGTCAGCAAGACACCAGGTAGCATGACAAGTTTGAACAGGTCCTGCATGTCCAGGGGTAACTCAAATAGCTTTAGAAGAAACCAGGCCTGTAAGTGGACATGGGATGTGTCATGAAGGAGAGAACAACTGGACTGTTAATCATATTTTTCAGAACTTTATCGAACCACCACAAACTGTCAGAACTAACACTCTTAACTACCCACAAAACATGTGCCACTCTCCTTTCTTACATGGAGGGGTCATGTGACACACAACACTGAAATGTGGATGGTCAATACAATACACAATATAAGACACCATAAATCATTTAAAGTGATCTGAACTGAGGCAGCTAAACCTACAATATAAACTATGCGATTATTTGAGGTACAGGAGGAGCTTCTGAAGAGTGAGCCTCCACATGCAGGCTGGCCCTTTGGCTGCTTTTCCTCCATCGGGGACACTGGGCAGAGCAGAGCACACGCATCAAGGATGGGGCTGAATAAGGGGGGAGCCAGCCGAGAGATGAAGTGGGTTTTTAATTAGCGGAGAAGGGCCATTACCAGTATGTCCACGCACGGCACTGGTAGCCGGGCCGCTGCACAGCTTGATGGGAAAAAAAAAGCAGCGGGAGACTGACTTCAACATGGAGAGAGACAGCAAGAGAGAGAGAATCAAATTAAAAAGGGGGAAGAGACTCGGGAGTAAGGGAGAGAGAGGGAGGAGGGGGGGAGAGAGATGGAGGGAGTCCAGGCTGCCTGCTTTGGTGGCCTGAATTATTTTATGCTTTGTTTTCGTTCCAGTGAACAGAAAGCATCGGGAGAGATGAAACACGCTTGCTTGACGTCTCAGTGATTTACGCGCGGTCTCAACTGTCGTAGGCATCTCTTTGGCCGGCCGACACTCTATTTACGTGTCGCTCAATACGTCAGCTGCGTGGTGTTCTGGGGACAGGAAAATTTCAAAAGACTGCGCACAGAGACAGACGTCACTTTCAGAGCACCTTTCCAAGATGTGTCGATTGTCCCATTAAACACAGAAATGTGGGTCAGAGATGGCTAATGATGAATATCAGAGGGACTTTGGCAAAAGCTTCCATAAGGTCACTTCCCTGCAATCCTTGCATGCTGGTTACACTGCTTATTCATTTATTTATATTTTAGTCTTTATGCAAAAAGGTAGCTGCACCTTGGAAACACCCACTTTCAAAAAAAATCACTTAGCTGTCCCCAGGAAGTCACTGTGCCATCTGTGACTATGACATGAAAGCAGCTACCAGTCCATAAGCATAGCGGGGGAATGGGGGGGTAGTTCAGAGTAACAGACCCAGCTGTCCCCCGTCTCCAGCAGGAATTATGGGAAACGCTCCGATTGTTCACCACACACACCTCATTTTTCCCATTTGCAAAGAGTAAGGTCACTCAGTGAAAGCTTTGTGGTCAGGCCTTAATCTTGCCACAGCTCACCTTTAATTATGTCTTTACAAAAGGAACCACACAGCCTGTCAAACGGTATAGAACATGCCAGATCATTTCTAATAAGCATTAATTTTTTACATTTTTACAATATTAGTATACAACATTAAAAATAGTCCATCACACCAATCAAACTTATTAGAGTGTTAAACTGATAAATTCTGAAGCATGGATGTCTGTTTCAGAGGTAAAAGTGTTAGGAAAAATCTGTCATGGATATCAGTTGTGTGAGGTATGGATAAAAAGCAAGGCTGATATGAAGGAACATGAGCTACATTCATGCTGGATTGTCTATGCATTCACATTTGCCCAGTGGCAGACTGGTATCGTGGGCACAAGCACAGATGGGCATGGCTACACATGAACGAAAAACCAGACACTCCTACTGCATGATTTTCCGGATATGTTATGTCCCACTCATTTGTTTGGTTTGTTTATATAAAAACTGACCTCAGCCAAGTGAGCTAAAACAAAAAAAAAAAATTAACCTTCCACTCCCACAGAAAAGACACCAAATTAAAGTGCCACTCGAAAAGCGGGCTGGTGTTGCCGGGTGGGAAACGCTGCGCTTTGATTAACTTTTACAGCATATCATCACACCGCCTGCGTGCTGAAATGTGATCTGAATGTATCAGTTCTTCCCTTCATAGCCTTATGCGAACTTTAACAGGCATTCACTCATAAGGCCATCAGCCCCATGAAGCTGATATATATCTATGTGGCTTAAACTGATGAGGGAACCTGGCCGTTCTCACATGACCAAATGGGTCAGCCATGTTGTTCCCCCAGGAATTACAGTGATGACAATGCATTCATAGGAAAATCGTGTGCCTGAGTTGGTGATTTTCAGAGGTAGATTCCATTAATGCCTACCTATAACACAATTTATTTTAACATAATCTGCAACAAATGAAATATCTGCAAGCATAGCTATAATATGTCGACTGGGTTATTCTAGTCCCATCCCACTCCCACAACAAAATTCCTGTCCTGTCCCAGTCCTGGAAGAATTAATCCCAGTCTCATTCCGATCCCAGGGGAATGATTTTAAGATTGCAAACCTAGACTATGGTTTTGCACCAAGTTTAATATCACAATAAGACCACAAACACAACTACAACCTTGCAAACACTCCCCGCAACTGAATCCACACTTGTGTACTCTAACCTGACACACCAGCAGTTTCCTGTCACTGTACAACTCTAACCCAGCAGATAAGCACACTTTTCTGTTGGTGTGCAACTTTCACCTTATGCACTGCACACAGAAGGTATGTCACAATACATTTACAGATCGAAAAATATTCTATCCTGTGACCCACGGGATTCCTGATCACGACTAACTTCTACTAGTGGTGAAAAGTGTGGTGATGAGCTTTTTCCATTGGAGAGACATTGATGACAGGCTAAGCATCCAGTGGGCTAACAGTGAGATTTTATGGCATGATGTTAAGGGTGGCTGACTGTAGCATGCTGGCCATGGGGAGCGACCATTTTGTGATGAAGTCCTCAGATAGACTCTGTGTGTCTCACCTGCATGGCAGGCCAACGAGCAAAGAGCATGAACTATTTCACAGCTGAAGAAGAGAACATCAGGAAATACTTCCAGTAAAACTATTTACACTCTAGTAGTTTGGGGCCAAGCGCTGAGCAAGCATGTTGAGCTCTGGTGATTCTCTTTAAAAGTAACTAAAATGACAAGTTCACCAGTGATTAAGTCACAATATCGGCCAGTTATTCTAACAGGTCATATTTGTATGGATTAATTTTTATATTTAAGGTACTACCATTTTGCAGTATATCTCCATTTGTTGTTACAGTTGAAAATTATTTGCAAGAATACTGAGTGCATATTCAACGGGCGCAGAACAATAAATTGGCACTACATAATAGCATGGAGGAGATTAACAAAGAATAAAAGTTATCATAATCTTTAATGATTCATATTTATTTATAATAGCAGAAACCAGACAGGTGTCTGCTGTTATAGGTTGATAATAGCAGAAACCAGACAGGTAGGATGGTACCTGCAGGTCTGCACAGGGGGGTTATTCGCTTACGTAAGTGGGCACCACTCCGCTCCCCCGCGGCGTGCGCCAACTCTGAATCAGCCGCAGGGAGAGAGCAGGAAACTAGGCCTTCTGCTGCGGTGAAAACCGCTTGTAATGTTCCCATAAACAAGGCGATTAAATCTGAAGTGGCCACGCCGAGCGCACAAAAAGCCAAATCAGATCTTTCAGTCGCTGTAATCCCTTTAAGTCCGCGAGGCTACGCTTTACAGCGGGAACACAAGCGCTCGCAGGTCGGGGCATGGCGACGGTGCTCCTTGCGGGGTGTAATTGATTTAATGTCTCCCACCGTGCTCGCGGTGTGCAGCGCGGCCAGGCGCGTCGCGCCAAACGCCGCATGCTGAGCGCAAATTTCATACCTGCGCCTTTTCTCCCTTCTGCATGCGTGTGTGAACTGACGCCATTGCCGAGATCATTGGGTAATACCCTGTGTGATAGGTTGTGGAAAAGGGGCGTCTTACACCAGCGGGGGTAATAAAGCGGCGGGGGGCTGTAAATTCTCCAGCTAAATGGCTCGAATAGGTGTCACGGCGGCTGAGGCAACTCGCGCTTGGCTTTCTGCTGCCAGCCATTGGCCCTCATCCCACTTGGCATGCGACGCGGGGTTATTATTCCCGTAAGAAGGGGTTCGACGACAGGGCCGGACGGGGCCCGTGACTCCAGGCGTGTGACCGTCCACGCCCGGGCTCAGGCAGCTCGAAGGACCTCAGCAATTCAAAACGGGCTGGGGGGTACTCTGCGTGCGTCTGTCGCAAAAACCTACCCTGCACCCCCACTACCCAGCACCTCCAAAGGATTATATCTCCTCCGAGCATGTCAGGGCGGGAGCTCGCCTTTTTGCAATCGTGGAGTGAGAGCACTGGTGGTGGTGTGAGGGGCAGCAGGGGTCACAGCCCCAGATGTTTTCAGGGGTGTCTTATACCCTCAAGCTGTCGATGATAGTCTAGCAGCCTGTGACCTGTGCCTGCTGCAGGGGGTGGGGGTAAATCTGCTGTATAGTCTTAAAAACCTACAGACACATATAACCCTCTCCCATCAGCAGTTTCAATGTGGTGAACTCCACCCCCCCGCCTCGGTTTTGGCAGCCTTGGATATTATGAACAATTGAGAGGATTTTTTTTCTACCAAGAAATAAATAAGAGGCATTCACCATTCATGACAGAGTACACAGCGCAGGCTGGCTCACCACTGTGCTGTCCCAGCTGAGATCACCCGGAGCAGAGGTGAGCGGGGCAGTCGCATCTCAGTCCCTACCGCTGCGTAAATGAAACGGATTAATCCTTAAGCTTTGTGTGAAAACTTCACAGCCAAAGTTCTCAACTGTGCTAAGTACGCTTGTTGCTGGGTTTGTTTCTTTCAGTCCACAAATGAATTCACTTGAACGGTAAAATAAATAAATAAATGAAAAAGACTCTATATCTGAGCACAATATAGCCACCGTTTAACTAAGCTTGTATACGGTATTCATTTCAATTAATCATTTTTTACCACTTTTTTTTACTGTAGGTGTTTTGCTGGATTTGCTAAGAGTATTTTATCTCACATCTTTCATGGTATCTGCAAGTACTGATCCAGCGAATGAAATTGAACCGGATTAGATGTGGAGATAAACACATGGCCGACTTACCGTAACAAGTTGTTTGCTCTCTGCCGTGCCATCAGGGCCGACTCCAGCCAGATCTCACCCCTTAAAAGCTCCCCCCCGAAATGAAGGTCTGCTACTCAACCCCCCCTCCCACCCCGGTCTGGAAGGCCATGCTTCTGGTGTCTGAAGTGTTCTATCCCTGGAATTGGTATTGCTAAGCTTTTTTTTGTGTGCTTAATTGCCCTTGGTTATGAAATGCAGAGGGCCTCCATGTTGAAATGGTTTTCTAAATCACCTCTTACTGTATAAATGCAGGGTGGACTCTTTTTTTATTAAATACTTTTCAAATTGCCATTTCCAGGTCTCCTTGAAGGTCCTGCTGCCTCCAATGCAGCACATTCAAACGCCACCTTTTGCTCAACACGCTGTAAAGAGATGTCCTCCAGTAGCAGCCAAGGCACGCTTTTTAATTCTCAACCCGCTTTCTTTAAACCTGCAAAAATCGTACCGCTTGCATATGAATATAGAAAATGGCATGTACTGCATGCGGCCGCTCCCTGTGGCCGTGAGCGGGCGAATGAATTATTCTAAACATTCTTCACTCCGTCGCCGCTCTTCTAGCTGGAGAGGGGGAGGGGAACAATAATTCGAACAGCCTCTGCTCTTTTAGCAAGGACACCAGGAGCGGCAAGATATATATATATATATACACACACACACACACACACACACACACACAAACAGTGGTACCTTAGAACTCGAATTTAGTCCGTTTGGAACTCCGGATCGAATCCTAAAAAGTTCGAGTTCTGATCGAATTTTCCCCATAAGAAATAATGAATGAACCGGAATAAAACAAGAAGAGCGTATACTGTACTAAACACATCTAAGCACATTTATCAAAACAGTAATTTGTAAAGTAAGAAAATAAATGTATCCAAGCAATGTGTAAAGTTAAAAAAAACAATGTGTCCTGCCCCGATCGTCCGCTCCTTCCGTGTGCCACGCCCCCTCGTTAACCCCGTGGGGAATCCCCGTGTGATCAGCCGTTTCAGGTTGTTGTCATTAGCCCTCTGTATTTCGTCAGTTTCAGTTTGTTTCCCCAGTCCGGTCATTGTATTGTCCGTCTGCGTTTTGCCTGCCTTACCTGTAATTATATATATATTTGATTTAAGCTTTGTAGATGAGAAATGCAACTATTATGTTTCATCCTCCTGTCTGTGGGTACAGCCTGGCTTTCCACTCTGCCAGGACAAAGAGCTGGCTGATCCTACAGAATTAAAAATGCCCAAAAAGTCTTAAGGTAGATATGTCAGCGAATTCCCACCAGTTGAAGGTTTTTTATTGTCTTGCTGGGGCTGGTGGGGAAAGCTGGGCCCCTCAGCAGGGGCATGAGGTCAGGAACGCCGGAAGGTTGGCGTGACAGCCATCCTCTCCCAGTCACATGACTAATTCTGCATCAGCGCTCGGTGATGTAACATGCCACCGGTGAGCAATCATACCCCGGGGGGGGGCATGCTTTTCCATTTCACTGGGCGTCCCCTCATCCCCAACCGTGGTGGCACCTGTTTAGGTCCACATCCACCATACTCTGTCCCCCGGGGTGGTCTGTGGAAGCGACTGTGAATCAGGAGCAGATGTGTCTCGTCAGTGAGAGAGGCCACTCGCAGTGGCACGGGTGACACCGGTGAAGGTCCGCTGAAGCGTGACCATGTTCACCCCTGGCGTGTCACTCCGGCAGGTGTCAGCGAGGCCCTATCACACTAGTGCATGACACTTCCCTGCCTCGGCATTTGTAACCTGCAATTCAGCCAATACTGACAGCTCCTCACTTACACAAGAGCGACTGAAGTAAATCTGGACTTATGCAAAAAATATCTGAGTTTATGGGAGCACTAATGTAAAAAGGTCACATACTCCTATCTTTTCTTTATTATATGTTCTTCACTGTGTATTAATAGTATATTTTGGCTAGTATTTTTTGCTATAAGGTGTCTTGAATGGTATGGGAAGGTAAATCTGACATGTAAAATTTGACTTATATAAGGGTTTGTGGGATTGATTATTTATATCAGTCAAGAAGGTTCTGTAGTTATGGACTGGTGCTAGCTAACAAAAATATACCGTATATTTGTTAAGTTCCTGCATGCAAAGACATTTTTACAAGCAATGGTTTTTAGAATCATACATTTTTAAAGACCATTTGGTGCCACAGAGCCTGGCTCCCGCGCAAGGAATCAAGATGAGCGTCACCAATCATGCAGTGTGCCCGGGTTCAAATTACCATGGCAACTTTGGGAGAGATCACATGTCTGGTCACACTAGCTATTCAAGTCTAACGGGCAACCTTAGCGGCATAAGCAGACCCTGTGAAATCTTAATAAAACCAGAAAGTTTTACTTTTTGTCTTTTTAAAAAGGCTAAGTATACTAAACATTTAGGCAGGCAACACTAGAAACCCTCTGCAGACATTATCTTACATTTTGAAAGCAAAACACAAGCGTTTTCCTGGTGAACAGAGCAGTGTGCGCTGCACCTTACCATTAACATGATTTAGAGGAAGAGGAGATAATGTAATTTCCTTGTGCCTAAGCAGAGTGATTAATGATAAAAAGGTAAGAGAGTGGTTTGGCATTTAAATACCAAACAGATGAGTCTGTGTTTCTTTTGACTTAAAGTAGAGGAGTTTATTTTATTTAAGAAAAAACACTAAACCAGCCCCTTGATATCATACTTTCGCCCACACATCCTGTCTGTGGTGCCATAAATAATTTCTCCATTCTGCCACACTGAAAACTCAACTGTTTCATCTCTGAACTTTTTTTTTGGTTGGCATGGCTGTTGTCACCAATGTTTCCCCACTGAAGAACCCCACGTCAGGCAGAAATGGAGGTGGTTCTCCTGTCACCCACGTGGCCCCCACAATCCAGCCTCGCCTTTAACACTTGGCTTTGTACTTGGCTCAGAAGAAATGCTCCAAAGCAGTACGGGGCTTGAATTTGTCCAAACCCATGCCTGCGTTTGCCTGTGGGCAGAGAAGCACATATCAACTGTCTCTTAGTTTACTGACAGGTCACCCCAAGAACAAGAGCTTGACTCACCAACATCAAACTTGTAAATAGAGGACAGCTATCATCTTTTAGCTGTCAAAAACACAGCGCTACAAGTATTTTGGGTCGTTCTCTCACTAAAGCTGTACACTTCTCAGAAGGACATGCTGGCCAACACTGGCTAAGTTGTTATCTTGTTTGCAGCAGTTGCATTCAATGGCCTCTTTCTTGCCAAAGAAAAGAGCCACAATGCTCGCATTTCTGGGCGTGGTAAGTTCACAGCTTGTAGTTCAGTGTTTTTTTTCCCCAAGTAATAAATCTAGCTCATGTACTTAAGTATAAGTTTGGGAGAATTTAACTGAAGCAGGACTTATTAGAGGATTTTGGCACAGGATTCATCAAACACGATGGATGCTTATGGTTTGCGTGAGCGATTTATGTGCTGACCTGTAACAACAGTGCTAACATTAACACTACGCTGATGGCCACATCGGCCTGCTAAGGATTAACATTCAGTGTCCTCCCCATGTCCTACCTCGAAATCCTTTCTCACCTTCAGAAGCGCAATTAAAAAATTAACAAGCACGCTGAGCATGCACAGGCAAGCAGGCTGTGTTAAGGGCAATGTGCTTCTGACAGCAGGCTAATAAAGCTGTCTCTTTAGTTAAAATGGTGGGTGAAAGTGTAACATTCTCCAAAAGAAATGCAAAGACTATATTGAGCATCTCTAATTTGTACATGACAAAGCCACTTCTGTCAGGTCCATTTCGGAACAAGTAGCAGAATTAGAAAGACGTGCCAGCTTTGGTCAGCTGGCTGGTGTGAGATTGCCTGCACACGCATTTACATGTATGTAATAGTTTTATTACCTTATAAATAGCCTGTAGGACTTGCAGACTACCACAACGCTTTTGATGTAGCTAAACTTAGATTTATAATGGAAGAATATAGATTGGCTGTAAGACTTCTGGTATGAGTGTAAGTCTGAAAGTGTGAGAGTCACGCCAGATGCGTGAGAGCTGGCAGCCCTGGACTGCGACAGTTAAAATCCCATTAGGAGCCCTGCAGCAGGAGTCTTGAACACAATACTTAACAAGTAAAACATCTAGCTAAGTAAACAGGCAAAATGTCTTGCTGTAGAAAATGAGGAAAAAGCAAAAAAACCTACATTAAATGTATGATAATGTACTTACAGATGTTATAGGGCTGTATTTACGTTAAATGATTTGTTCTCTTCCTACCTTTCTTTTCTTCCATCCTCCAATATTGTAGACTGTATGGAGTTTCCTTTCTCCTCAATAATGTTATAAAGACCAAGAAAAGGCCGACCTGGAACATTTTGTTCGAATCTTTATAATAGGTTTTTAGTCACGTCTCAAGCTTATCCCCACTTTAATTTTACACATCAAAAGAAAATGTGAAGCCACAAGTTCATTTTCTAGGGGAATTCCAGGACAAATCCACACAGCACGTTCTTTAAAACTCATGATCCAAAGATCTGCACTGCTGTAATTGAATGCTTTGCTAAGCAACCGTGATTTTATTAGGGATAAAATCTTTGTGGTTAAGGCATGAAAAATGGCAGACTGGGTTACAAACAAGCAGGCAGCCAAAAGAGCAGCAAACCATTGCTTATAAAAATACACTGTTGAACGTCCAAATACCACAAGGGACAGAATGGCCTCCTCCCGTTTCTTCTCGAGTTCCTATGTTCCTAATGCTGGTGTTGATATTCATGTGAAAATATCCCCTGGCATTTCTTAATTCCCATAACTAATATCACTTTGGGGCACATCTGGCACCCTGGAGTGTGCATACTTAGAGCGTATTATTACACATTTTTTTGCTGTAAGATAAACACATAGCCAATGAGTCACATTTCACTGGAGTTGAAGGATTGTCCCAGGGTGGGGAAGAAACACACAACTTAATTTATTGCCCGGGCAGTTTTATCACAGGGAATGTTCTCTGCGCTTGCCATTGTGCTTTAAAAAATTGCATGACAACTTTTTTTTTTTTGCATGCGATAACATCACAAAAGCCTTTAAAAATACATACCGCCTGACAACAGCAAACACAGAGCCGAATGCCTGACTGGAGGATGGCCACAGGAGACCAAAAAGAGGCCCAGATACACTACCACTCTGCAGAGTGAAAGACAGGTGCTTCTTGACCAAATCAGCTAATCCTCATTCATCAAAATCTGTGTGTCAGCAGAGACATATATTGTCAGGCTTAAGCATCAGTCAGCTCAATGCCAGGGAATGAGCTCCACCAGTGCTATGGGGCAGTGAAACACACCTGTGCTCTTCTGACATGTTTACATTCTGACATGAGGACATGCAAATTGGCCGTGGGTGACCTGACACTGACCCCGTCCACGTAGGCAAAATGCCCACTAAAGCCTTATAACACATACCCTTGAATGAGGTGAATAATACTGCAGGTTGCTTTAAATTAAACCTTTCAGATAAAAGATAAATATGCATTTTACAAGCCAGGCAAATGCATTTGTTATTTATTATTTAGTATTTGTTAGTTATGATTTGTTTTATAACTAACACAAATGAGAACCTGTCCTTTTAAAATGCCCCCCTCCCATTTCAACTGATTAATACCATCAAATCATATCATTTATTAAATTTACCTGTTTTATATATTTAAATGAATTATATCATGGATATTTGAAATTGCAGATCATTGTCTAAAAATGAATGACATTGCTTGTTGTTTATTTCATATTTTTCAGTTAAACATCCATACCATTGGCTGTACATTATGTAAAAAAAATAATAAATGATAAATGTTGTATATGTTGTCAAAGCCAATGTCATGTCCTTCAACATTCTAGAATGACTAAAACAAGTGTCGCTCTGACAGAGCTGGGATAATGCCAAGGTCTTTGGACAGAACACAGCATGAATGTTTGTTACCTGAAAGGAATCTTGTTGACATCTTATGATTTACTGAATGTCGATTTGATGAATGTTCTACATGTACAGGTTCATTTGCATTGTATAGATTACGAGAAAGATCTGTTATATTAGCTGAGTGAAATTGCTTTTGTGATTTTCTATTAGGCACAAACTCCACAGGGGTTTTGTCATTTTAGTTTGGAACCTGTAAAAACTGTACTTCGGCAATGGCTGTTGCCACATATGTAACCGCTTGTTAATAACTTGGCCTTTTCGACGAGTCTTCATCTGAGTCTTTGTCACTGTTTGAAAGCTGAGGCTAGCTAGCAGCCCTTTTTCCCAGAAACCCAAATGATCTCTACAAAGAAGGCAGCCTTGCAGCTGGTAGCCACCATCATCGCTAGGGATTAAAATGCCACATCTCATAAATAAACCACTTATGAATACCGTTAGTCTTGGAGAGGTTATATTATGTGCCCAGGTGGAAATATATTTCATGGAGGTGGACACTGAATTCCACAGACATGTTGGCATTCATATGGTATTTCACTTGCCTAAGCCATGCCTGTGTCTGTTTTCAGAAGGACACTGCATATGTGAGTGTAAGCATCTATCTATCTATCTATCTAAAGAGAGAGAGAGAGAGAGAGAGAGAGAGCAGATTTAGATGGCTCATAAACAGTTCACAGACACATTAAACATGTACTTTTGCCTAATTTTCTTTTTTGTAATGATCATGATGAGTTGTTTCTTTATGAATGTTTTTGGTTCTATACTCTTGTTTATGTACAGAAACATGAATGATACGGGATCACAGCGGGAAAGAAGCAGTGGCCATTTAATGAAAAACTCTCATTATGCTACGGTTACTGCTAAATGTTGGCCTTGAAATCTGGTAACGAGGGACCTTCCTTGGTTTTTGCACATGATTTACATATGTTTTTGTCAAATGCTTACAAAACAACACCAATAAAATAATAAACAATGGACATGCACAAAAATAATATATTATATAACCCAAGTTATGCATTTATTGGGATTTGTGTAACGTAATATGTTCACATTCATGAGCTGTAAATATATGCAAGGAAAATTTGAATTCATAGAAAAGAATATTTTCAGTCTATGATACTACTGTACACCAGGTAATAATATATGCATGTTACCATGACGATTCACAAATGTCTTTCAAATAAATGACATGTGCCATGATTATTATCACACAAACACTGCACAAACCTAATTCACTCCTGAATTCTCTATCAAACAGAACTTTAAAACGGTTGCAAATAAATACAGGGCTTAATGAAAGCAGCCAGTAAGAAAATCCTTTGTTTAGGAGGTGGGAAAGACCTGTTATCGTGTCATTAGAATGGGCCTCTCTTTCAGAAGGACACTGCAATTGGCAGAAAATCACCCAGCCCTGGGTTTATTTGATTTTATTTCACACCTGAAGCTAAAAGAGTTTTCCCCTTTCCTAGATAACATTTCTAACACATATGGATGAAGTACTCTTATGTTACTGTGACATCTGGTTTAAAATATGGAGTGAATATGTAGGCGATACACTCTGACAAGACCCAGAATTGGGAATATCACGTACACTTTATTTTCAGTAGATTGGTCTGCATTTATAGGGCTTTGGCGGCAAAATATCAAATGTGTGAGGTATATTTACAATTTGACTTTAATTATTAAAGTTTTTAAAGGAATCATTCTTATAACCAGTCCAAAACTTGACATTAAGTGTCTTAAAAATACAGTGTTCCAACTATTTTCTGCTGTTATAATATAAGGTTAATATCTGTACTAGAGGTACCTTCGCTGGTAGACCTATCTTAAAATGCTTATCAGCTTGCGTGAAATGCGGAACAATTCAAACACATCACCAATAAGAAATTAATCGTAGGCGCTCCTTGTTTCACTGCGAATAATTTATTTGGACGACTGGAGTATGTTTCACTAGTTATTGCGGATAAACCATGCCGATATTTTTCAGAGCTCTGTTTGGCCTACGCTCCTATCAGTCATATTCCTATAGAAAAAGGCGGGTACGTCACCTTGGATTGGGTGGATCGCCAAGCCCCCCAGCCGCTCGTGTGGTTTTCTGCCCTTACGATTCGACGACCTGCGCTGTCATTTGAACTTCATCCGCCTCGCATGATGACAGGTCGATGCTCGTTGGGGGGCGGGTCTAGATGAGAGGACGACGGAGGCGGGGGGGTTGGGGGAGAAAAAAAAAAACAAAAACAATACATTAGCGCAGCCATCTTGAATCTCGTCAGCTCACTGAATGAGTGGAAATCAGCGACAGGAGCGGATCCCGTCGGCTGGGGGACACGCATAGCAGCTGCGGATTGTTTTATTCCTTTTTTCCCGCTCTAATTATTCAGTGTTGGGGAACGTCGTGGGGAGGCGAGGGGGACTTGATCATTCACCGTGAATCCGCGTCCTTCTACTATCTGGTTAGCGGGAACTTAGCACGAGCGAAGTTATTCGGAGAAGCCGGATTTCGGGACCCGACAGCGGTGTCCCTGTGACAAAACTACCGCAGAGCGCCACACGGCCGACCTCAGGCGGAAGAAGCTGAATCATCTTCAGTGTTTTCTTCTTATTTTTTTATTACTGATATTTTTAATTCGCCGACGAAGAAACGACCCCCTCCCCTTTTCCAGGGCGTTTTGTTTGACCAGCCTGCCGAGCTGGGCGTCCGGGGATGTGGAGCTGAACGCTTCCTCCCGTAAACCTGCAGGCAGCTCCGCCGCGTTTCAGCCAAATTGGCCGTGGGAAAGAATAGGGTCCCGCGAAGGAGCCTCCGGGAGAGGACATTCGAGCCCTCGGCAGTACCTACCCCTCCGTATAGGTGGCGGTTGGATTAACGGGGTTAACTAGCTGGTTAACCAGAAACCGGACAGGCACATGTTTAAATGCCGGAGCTGTCAGACGCCGGGGGTGCGTGTTTTCCACCCCCCACCTCGACTCTAAACCGCCATCCCCTGCCTGTCTGATCCGGCAGTTTCTGCTCTAATTATCCAGCTAAAGATCACGTTAAACAGGGGATGTTGTTATTATTTAAGGTTAGTTGCGTTTTTCCCCCCGAAGACTGCGGAGCGGCTATTATTTTAATTAAAATGATCTAAGGTGGGATCGCTTTGCCATCCACAGGATCTCACTGATTTAATGCACCGATAATAACCGGTAATAACCCTATCATGCATCCGGCAAAATGGCACGTTTCTCCGGCTGCACGCCGTGCATGAGGAGATTTGCCCCCCTTTCCCGGTGGGATTTGGGTTTTTTCCCGTGTCGGCTTGTTATCTGTCGGTAAACCTTTTCATCTTCCCCGCATGTGGGCTTTGGCCCCGGCGGTCGTTTAGCTGCAAGGCCCCCGAGCGACGTGTTTGCCGAGTTCAGAATAAGTGGAGACCGATTCGAAAACACAAGTGGAGGAGACGGGTCGGATTTACTGGGATAAAGGAAAGGATTTTAAAAGGACAGGAGGATGGGAGCCGCCACCAAACTCGTGTTCGCCGTTTTCCTCATCTCCTGCTCTTCAGGTGGGTCGATCGCCGCGAGCCGTGTGAAGTTTTAATGCGGAGCAATTTATTACCCGCGCTGATGCACCTGAAGGGACGTCGCAGCGCACACATTCAGCCCAAGAAATGCCCTGGACCCCATCCTCCTGTGCTGGTGCACAGTGAATAACGTTAAGAGCAGCACTATTTAACTTTATTTCTTAAACAAATGCAGAGTACAACCATTATATACAGTATGGCGGTGCATGTGTGTACCTGATCTGTTCCAGCACCTCAATAGGTGTGGAATGTGTAGTTATGCTATGTGTAATAATACGCATTATATGCGCCGCTTTCGATCTCGGCATTCTTGTTATTGCCCATCCAAGCAATCTAAGAAATTTTAAGTCATTTTTGCCGTTTGCAATCGCTCAAAGTTAAAACATAAGTAGAGCAACCAAGCTTTGCGGTTTGGTAGATTTGAGGGATAGGAGTGATTACAGTACCTTGTATGCAGAGGCAGTTATTCCATGGTGTTTGAGGGGAGTAATACGTGTGTTATTCTAAGTACTGTATTTACGTGTTGCATTCATTTAATTAATTTACTTGTAGCCCGTATTCATTTTGCAACCTTTTGATATACAAAAATGTTGGTGTTTTGCAGTTCAAGTCTTTTCTCGTCTCATATTACTTGATTTCACGATAAGAAAACAGTTTGACCATATCTGTACTGCGACTTCATATCAGTTTCACTGACGTTCTTGGTCGAAATTATGCATGTATCTGATCGTTTATTAAGCGATCATTTGGGGTCATTTGAAGGTAAAAAGAAGTCCCTTTACCAGTCATTTGCATGCTTTTGTTGTGTTTCAGGCAAGTTGGAATTGCAGGACTATCTGTGGTTTTAGCTGGTCTTGGGTAAATGTTCCTTTTGAGAGTAAGGGTTACGTTAGTCATCGTTGCCCTATTGTCTGCCAGAGCCTTTTTGAAAGGGGGAAGTCTGTGACTGTCAGTAATAAAGTGTACCATAAATCACAGTGTGGACTTAAAGGTTAAAGGTTTTTTGCATTTATATTGTTTTTCATTTTATTACTGCACTCTTGGTTGGTTTGGGTGCTCGGAAGACCACAATACCCCTGAGTCAGCTGCAGGATATATGCACTGTGAGCTTTTTGGCTTGATGACCCATTGCAACATTGAGTCACGAAACAGCAACAGAACCTCAGGCATTGCAAAAACAGGAGCTGATCTTGAGCCTGGACCAGGGAGAATCACTTATGCACACCATGCATACTGAACTGCAAATTAGATTTGTGAAATTTGGGGAAAAGAAAGTTTTTCTAAATCATGCAGTGTGCTTACGTGTGCAATCATGTTGCTATAGTTACACCTCTCCCCACTTCTGTGATTTTTGTCTACCTTCTATAGCAATGTTTTGAATCACATGAACCTTTTTTTTTTTAAATATATTTTTGCTAGGAGATTATTTAAATTTAACTATGCCATGCTGTGCCAAGACAAGTTTCTATACCTTGTGAGAAGTAATACTTTAGCTGTGGGTGATTGTGTTATTATTCCTGCCATCCTTCTGTATGCTGGTACCTATCAGTCAGTACATGGATAGAGGAGGGAAGCGGGTTCTAGGTGTCTGCTGACACAGAATACACGCCACGAGCCTGATAGGCTTGTGCATGAGAAATTCAAAATACAGCATTAATTCCAGTAGCTAGGATGGTGAAAAGTGTCTCAGATGACTGCCCCCCCCACAGCCCAAAAGGGTGTCTGAGGCTGGTTCATCAGCGCAGGTGCTGAGATATAATCAAGGAAATGAAGACAGTTGGCTCAGCAAGCCAGTTGTCTCTTCTCTTCTGAGAATTCACACGGGTGATTTTTATATTTTCCATAATAAACTCCCCAGTCTGTCATTCCACGGGGGGAGAGTTGCTGGACCAGCTTTCTGGTGTTACTTGGAGCTCTTTGCCTCAAGTCTGGATCGATGCGTTGCTGACTGGCTTTTTAATGCCTGGTAGACTTCAGTGAACAACGTTAATGAGGATGATACAGTTGTGCTGGTTCGAGGGGAAACCTGGCAACCAGTAAATGTGGCTGCTGTCTTATCTCTTTTTTTGGGGGGTGGGGGGAGAGGGTGCTGTAGTTATAATCCTGTGCTGTTGTAAAGCCATAGGGACATGAGGATGTGCAGACTTATTCCATGAGCAGTTGGTGACATTTGAAAAGGTATATTCCTCATTTTTAAGTCATTTCAGTTGTCTTGGAAAAGATCTTGTGCGTCTTTCTTTAATCTAGTCATGTTGCTTAGATTTTGGTTGCTTGGGTCAGTGAGTAGCCCTGTGAACTCTTATTCTTCTGGTTTGCGGGTATGATTCCTGTCTCATCTGTTTGGCGTTCTCTCTCCCCTGTCTTCATGGTTTGCCCATGGGTACTCTGGATTCCCCTACCCAAGGACACAATTCTGGTGAAATGGGGTGTCCATTAAGGATGCACCAATCCATTGGCAGATTTTCACCCTGATCTGCGCTCACCAGCCAATCAGCCAGTCAATGTAACGGCCAATCTTATGAGCTGGTCAAGTAGTTTACCAGCCAGCCTTTACAGTGTGGGACAAATCGGTTAAAGTCACAATGTATACAACATGTGACAAAGTTTGAAGTAGTTGATGAATGAACAACACATTTGGAAGGACCAATTTTATTCAACATCGGTGGAGCCATTTTTTTTGTAAATATTAAGTTATTTTGCTTGCAGAAAACAGTTCATTTAAAAAAGTGTTTAAAAATGTTTTGTCTAGTAATTACTATTACTCTAAGAATATTGGCCAGGACTGGGATTGGCAGGTCAGGCTTAAAAGAAAAAAGCAATCAGGATCGACCAAGGAAATTGCAGTTGGTGCTTCCCTGGTGTCCACATTACCCTTCATTTGTGTAGGGCCTGTGATAAACTGACATCACCTCATGGGTGGGTCTGAGGGGCTGGCATTGCCTCTTGGGTGGGTCTGTGATAGACTGGCATCACCTCCTGGGTGTGCCTTGCCTTGTACCCTGTATTCCTTCCAACTTCAGTGTGGCCCCATATTGGAAAAGTGGTTTTGGAAAATCGATGGATTTTTGTAATTTCTGTTTTGTAAGAGATATCTGCTGTGATGGATGGAACTATGTTAAGAAGGTTATCTGTTAGAAAAGAAAAGAACTATACTAGAGCAGACAGCATAATCCTGCAGATTTGATCTGCTTTCACAGGTTTTATTAGGAAGAGAGTCTGCAGTTTAAGTGGGCTGATGTTATTCTAAAAACAAGCAGGAGAGAATTGTTCCTGTTTAGCAGTGGGAAAAGGGCCAAGATTAAAGTTTTAATTTTATGACCAGCATAGTAGTTTGTTTAATAACATTAGCACTTGATTAATAGCTCAGTGACTATCAAGTTATAAATAGCTAACAGGTAATTAATATAGCTTTGTTTGTTCAGTGTTAATGTGTGACATGGATTTTAATATCCACCAGTAGTCCAACATAAGGTTTTCATGGTCTGAGCTTTTACATTTCAGCCATACTTTCCTGTGGCAGTATCAGGAAAACATGTTGGAGAGCTGCTTTTAAGACTCGGAAAAAGAGGATTAAATAATCGAGTGATGTGCCACAGATGCAGTAGAGAGAGCGAGGGGGAAGGTGATGCCTACACGACTGGTAAATGGGCCTACTCAGGGGTCTTGGCTGCTCATGCACAGTATGAAACACAGCCTGATGTCGCTCTGACATGGGACAGGTCCACTCCAGCCTTCATATCCTCAGTGAAAGGTTACGATATCCAGTCCATGCTGAATCCTTGGCCTTGTCCTGTTTATAGCAAGAAGCCATCTTATTTTGGGTGATGTTAAGTTGTAATCTTGCTCTATTATTGGTTTAAGGCCACTGAAATGCTATGACCAAAAACACATTATGCCGTATAGTTTTGAAGTGCATGCAGGTCTTTTCTGAATAGTGCTCTTGCTGAGATTTTCTTTGGGTTATACCATTTCAGCAACGCTACATTATATCTCCCACAGATGGCGCTGTGCTTGTTGGTGAAGCCTGATTAGATTGCCAGCATATTATTGTGGTGACAACCCATAGAATCCTCTACCCTGGAGTGTCTTCCAGGGCTGGGTAATGGTGTATGCAGAATATGCATTTGCCTACAGCACCATCTCTGTCCCGTGATGTTTAGGTGCAGACTCTGGTTGGTTGTACACGCTGCTGTCTTGAGGCATGAATGGATGGTTCTCTGTGCCTTGTGCTTCCCTGCCAGACACCAGGCCCTGATCTCCTGGGACGCTCTGTTTCCACCTCTGTCAAACTAGCGCACTTTCGAGGAATTTTTGCACATAAGGCCGTGCCAGATGCCACGCTACAGTGCCAGGCTCTTCTTGACTCTGTGCCATGGCGCATCCATGCCGTAATG